CATTGTTGTTTGGCGGGTCCGGGCTGGGGATTCGAACCCGCTACCTTAGGTGTACATGGCTGGCGCCTTAGCCGGTTGAGCTATAGGCGCCGAGCCTGTAAGATTCTTGATGATAAATATTTTCACCACATTCAAGAGTTATGACTTCCCTCTCATTTTTGTGTCACTTTGGCAGTCAGTTATAACACAAAGCTCAGTAGGGGGCTGGTTCCTCTGAGTCTAGTCGTTCAGCACTGTGCTGACACCTGCTGGTCACACATAGTTAAGCAGCCCTGGCCCCAGGACCTTCCTTCCTCCTGTCTGCGCCCTTACCTGCCAGGCACTGGAAGAATACGTTGTAGCAAGACTGTCCCCCAACACCACCCTTCAAACTTCAGAATTTTCCCCCAATGACCTCCAGCAGTGTGGAATTTCCATTCTATCCAGTACTATAGAAATGTAAGAACCAGATCTCAAGGAACTGGGTGGCAAGAAAAGAAAGAGGCAGATAATTTGAGACTGGGGGATGGGCAAACCTCTCCTCCCCACCTCAAGAATCAAGAATTTTCCACAGAATTCTATTCTTTTTGACCTTTGCCAACCTTTTTTCTAGATTGCTCTTGGGCCACAGGACTTGGTGACAGCGGTGATGAACCGGAGGTTGGGCAGAGTGGGTAGGCGGGGCTCAAGGGGTGGGGCCAAGCCAAAGGGCCCCTCACTTGGGAGTTTCTCCATTCCGTCAACCCTCCGGTCGGGGAACGTCCAAGGCAAGACTGGCACCGAGCGCAGCAGGTGAGGGACTGGCAAGGACAGAAGGGTAGACTTCAGGGGTGATGATGGCAGAAGGGTGCCTGGCTCTTTCAGCCTTAGCTTCCCAAATTGTGTAACTCTCATTTGTAGAGTTCTGAGCCCCCAGTAGTTTTAGTTTCACCCAGTGGCAAAGCAGCCTCTTAAAAAAAGACCTGGTTTGGGATGGGAGTGGGTGGCAAGAACTGAGGGATGGGGATGGATGTGGGCGAATAATAGAGAAATGCAATGAAATCCCAGAGACATGGAGATAGATGGGTAAAGGCCAGAGGGAAAGCATGTCCAGGCCAGAGGACCATGGGGAGGACCCAAATAAGAAAAAAAGGGAGTCCAAAACAGAGAAAGGGTGAGGACAGTGGATCAAATGTGAGATGGCAATGGAGGCAATGGAGAGCAGGGTAAAAGGAAGGCCAAGGAGGAAGGAAGGCCCACATGGAGCAATCTCCTCTTCCGGAGGGGAGCATGGCCAGAAAGCCCCAGGGCAAGCCAGGGAGCAAAACAAAGTTCTAGGTTCCCACTGGAATAATTCAGCTGGGGAAGAAACCCCTACAGTTACCCATCTCCCTTGCCTCTTCAGACTCCCATTTTGGTTTGGGGGAGAGGGTGAGGCTGCTCCTCACTGCGGTCACAGCCACATCCTGCAAAGCAGGGGAGGGGGAAGTAAGAAACAAAACAGCCAGAAGAACCACAAGCAAATGCCATGGGAGCAAACCCTGGACAGACCCAGCTTATACACCATCAGGAGGGTCCTCAGGTCAATCAGCAGGAGACTGTAGACCTTAGTGCTGCCTGCCCTTCCTGAGTTGCTTGTTCCTCAGGCATCCTCTGAGTGCTTCATCCTCACTGAGACCATCACAGGGAAGGAGGTTTTCTTTAGATTATATGGTTTTAAACTCAATTTAATCGTTTACTAGTGACTTAAGCCAAATTGCTTAATTTCTCTCTCTTTTTTTTTTGAGACAGAGTCTCAAGCTATCGCCCTGGGTAGAGTGCCGTGACATCACAGCTCATAGCAATCTCACACTCTTGGGCTTAAGTGATTCTCTTGCCTTTGCCTCCCAAGTAGCTGGGACTATAGGCACCTGCCACAATGCCCAGCTGTTTTTTTTTTTGGTTGCAGCCGTCGTTGTTTGGTGGGCCGGGCTAGATTCAAACCTGCCAGCTCAGGTGTATATGGCTGGCACCTTACCTGCTTGAGCCACAGGTGCCGAGCCAATACCCAGCTATTTTTGTTTTTGTTATTTAGCAGGCCCAGGTGGGGTATGAACCCACCAGCCCCGGTGCATGTGGCCGGCGCCCTAACCACTGAGCACCGAGCCTGACAGGAGCTTTTTTTTTTTTTTTTTTTAAGACAGAATCTCACTTTATTGCCCTTGGTAGAGTGCCATGGTCTCACAGCTCACAGCAACCTCCAACTCCTGGGCTTAGGCAATTCTCTTGCCTCAGCCTCCCAAGTAGCTGGGACTACAGGTGCCTGCCACAATGCCCAGCTATTCTTTGTTGCAATTTGGCCAGGGCTGGGTTTGAACCCACCATCCTTGGTATATAAGGCCGGCACCCTACTCACTGAGCCACAGAAGCTTTTAGAGTCAGGAAAACAGTTGTGTTTGATCTGAGGTATATTATTGAACATAAGCTTTAGTTTTCTCAGCTGTAAAATAAGGATAGTGATACCTACACCCCATAGATGTATGATACATAATGTTCAAAGATGGCAGTTGTAAGAATTATCTGCCAGTAAGCCCTACCTTCTTCACTATGGCAGCAATAGCCTATTCCATGTGAGAGTTAACTCATGGTGGGGTATCCTGGGTGTGTGACCACCTTCCTCTAGCCAGAGCTATCACTATCTCCTGGGCTGTTGTGGAGATCAAGATTTCCCACAGTACTAAAGGAGAAAAGCAGGAAAAAGACACAGGGAATAAGGCTGGGCAGGGTGCCTCACACCTATTATCCTAGCACTCCGGGAGGCTGAGACAGGTGGATTGCCCTGAGCTCACAGGTTGGAAACAGCCTGAGCAAGAGCAAGACCTTGTCTCTAAAATTAAGAGGCAGCACCCATAGCACAGTGGGTAGGGTGCCAGCCACATACACCCAACCTGGCCCTGGCCTACTAAACAATGACAATGACAACAAATAAAAAATAGCTGAGTGTCATGGCAGGCACCGGTAGTCCCAGCTACTTGGGAGGCTGAGGCAAGAGAATCACTTAAGCCCAAGAGTTTGAGGTTGCTGTGAGCTGTGACACCACAACACTCTACTGAGAGCAACATAGTGAGACTCTGTCATAAATAAATAAATAAATAAATAAAAATAGCCAGGCGGGATGCTGAGGCAAGAGAATTGCTGGAGCTCCAGACTTTAAGGTTGCTGTGAGCTATGATGCCACGCACTCTACTGAGGGTGACAAGTGAGACTCTGTCTCAGAAAAAAAAAAAAAGAGAGAGAGAGAGAGAGAGACAGGGGAGGAGGAGGTCCCAAAGGAAAGAGATGACAAACAGATAAGGATGAGACAGAAATCAAAGAAGCAACAGAAAGGGAAAAAGCCATTTCTCTCTTTTTAGGGAAGCCTGTGGCCTTTTTCCAGTGACTGACCACACCTCACTTCCCAGGAATCATGGAGTCCTTTAGCTCCAAGAGTCTGGCACTGCAAGCAGAGAAGAAGCTACTGAGTAAGATGGCGGGTCGGTCTGTAGCTCATCTCTTCATTGATGAGACAAGCAGTGAGGTGCTAGATGAGCTCTACCGTGTGTCCAAGGAGTACACGCACAGCCGACCCCAGGCCCAGCGGGTTATCAAGGACCTGATCAAAGTGGCTGTCAAGGTAGCCGTCCTGCACCGCAGTGGCTGCTTTGGCTCTAGTGAACTGGCCCTGGCTACCCGCTTTCGTGAGAAGCTGCGGCAGGGAGCCATGACGGCACTTAGCTTTGGTGAGGTGGACTTCACCTTTGAGGCTGCTGTTCTGGCAGACCTGCTGACCGAGTGTCGGGATGTGCTGCTGGAGTTGGTGGAGCGCCATCTCACACCCAAGTCACACAGCCGCATCCGCCACGTGTTCGATCACTTTTCTGACCCCGGTCTGCTCACAGCCCTCTACGGGCCTGAGTTCACTCAGCACCTTGGCAAGATCTGTGATGGGCTCAGGAAGCTGCTGGATGAGGGGAAGCTCTGAGAGCCCTGGGCCTAGCATATTCCAGCTCAGCAAAATGGCTGAGTAAGAAAACAACAGATAGTGGGCTTCCTAACCCCGCTTGCCTGCACTAACCTTTCAGTCCTCAGGCTTCATTCTTTCCCAAGAGCACTTTGACTCAGACCATCCCATCTCCAAACTGTTGGTGGAGAAGGAACAATACTAAGGGGTGAGGGCCCTCTCCCACTCAAGCCCCAGGACAGGAAACAGAGCTGTGTGAAAAGGCGAAGTGAAACTTGGATCTCTGCATCTCTTACAAGGGACTTCTGAAACAGGCAAGGCTCCTCCCACCCTCTGAACCAGGGAAGGGGACAGTGCCTATATAACCCAACTGGGACAGTGAGGACAGAAGGGGGGAAGGTGGCCCTTAGAGACATAGCTTGGACAGATACTAGAGGCTCTGCTCCACAGTGCAGGAAGAAGGGGCCAGGGCAAGGGAGATTCTCTTAGAGGAAATAAAACTACTGCAACATGCATGGGGCTCAATGTTTAATCTCTCCAGCTTGTGATCATTACAGAGGAAAGACGGTATCTAAACACCACTCATCTCACCTCTCACCACTTCCATACAGGAGACTGAGGCATATTTCCAGTATCACTGAGGTCCCCTTGCCTACTTCTGTTTAAGAAACAAACAACAAAAAAAAAACTGTACCACAGACCAGTGCTACAAAGTGCAAATAAATACACAGTGAGGGGCAAGGCATTGGCAGACAGGCTCTGGTGGGGAGAAAGTATAACAAAGAGATCCCCCTAACGGTCCTCTTCAAGCTCCAAGGAAATCCTTCCATCCCTTAGCCCCTCATAGGCTGAGCAGAGGAACAGGTTAGAAGGGTGAACTGCTGGAGAGTTCAGATCCCTACAGTGCTACTTTTCTCAGAGCTAGAGTTGTGGGAAAGTCACAGGGAGTTAGTCAAGATTAAACTTGAATTCTTTACTTTATGACTGAGGAAAAGGCCTGGCACTGTCTGCCGGTCTCTGTGATGGGAGCAGATCACTGGTTGCCCCATCCTCAGTAACATCCGTGGCTAAAGAGGGGGAAAGTGAGGAGCAGCAGGTACTCGCTCACTCTTCCTGGGCTCCCGCATTCCGGAGCTATCGAAATCCCATTTTTCAGCTAAGAGTGAGAAGGAATAGGATACAGTGAATAAATATCAGTCAATATAGCACCAAATAAATTAGATAACATACTTGGAGATGAGGATTAAGTTGAGAGGGAGTCTCTGCTTCCCTGCTTTAAGGCCGGGGAATGGTGAGAGGGATAGGAAAGGCAGCATGGATGAAAAAAGAGCCTTTTGAATCTAAACGACAACTCCAGGTTCAGCCCAAGAACTGGAAAGGAGTCCAATCCCCATCCCCTACTCTTGCCAATAAAACTACCCCAGGCCAAGGAATTCTTAGCAGAGAAGGAGCTGGGGAAGATGGCCAGAGTGGAGGGAGGTAGCCTGGGAAGCCATGCTCTTGAGCCTAACCTCAGGCTCCTCCTCAAGTTGTTCCTTCAACATCTTACTTCTCTCAATCAGTTCTGGGGACATCAGAGTTTAAAGATTTCATCCTCCTGGTCTCGTAGTGTCTGGGTCCGAGAGGTACGGGTCAACGGTACAGGACCCAGGACTGCTCGTTGCTGCGTCCGAGGGGAGCTCAGGTGGGGCCCTGCATCCTCCCCAGGTATCCTGTAGGTAATAAAAGGGGAGAAAGAGAGACAGATCAAGGCAAAAGCCTGAGAATGGGCCAAGTGAAGAGGTACATGGGAAGCTGTTTTACTATCGTGACACATAAGCTGGTTTCTTTAAGACAGTCTCAACATCTTCTGGATAAATACATCCTAATCTTAATGCTCCTTCATGGGTGATCAGGCAGGAAAAAGCAGTCAATTTTTTTACACCAATAAGAACACAGAACCCATGGGCAGCACCTGTGGCTCAGTGAGTAGGGTGCCAGCCCCACATACACAAAGTGGTAGGTTAGAACCTGGTCCCGGCAATAGTGCAACAAAAACTAGCTGGGCATTATGGCAGGCGCCTGTAGTCCCAGCTACTCGGGAGGCTGAGGCAAGAGAATCACCTAAGTCCAAGAGCTGGAGGTTGCTGTGAGGTGTGACACCACG